ACTCATATAGTTTTGAATGGGGAAAAATGCAACGCTCAATATGGCCGCTCAATCGCAGGAAGCCCCGCCTTCTGAATGAAACAGCCAATCGGTAAAGTCAGCGCGTCACTGCAGCTGCCGTTAGAAGTCCCGGTTGCTATTGAAACAGTCAGCGTTCTGAGACACGCTCTTAGGGCTGCGCGTGCGCACTGGCTGATCTAGCCTGAAAAATAAGCTTTTAATAACGCTATTTGAGCAAAAGTAACAACATTTATGACACAGTTGTTGTCAGATTTCTTTGGTGATTTCAAATATGAAATTTAATCGTAAGCTTAGTGAACAGTTTTGGAGAAACACGAGAAGTGTGTTCAACTCGGACACGCAGACGGTTGTCTTGGTGATTGTAACAAAGTTCGTAGTCACGGGAAGAAGGAGGCGGGAACCTGCCTACCTTTGCCTAATGCGTAAGTCTGCCTCTGATTTTAGGCAATGTAGAAATCCTGACCAGGACATGTCTGGGGGAAAAGGGCACATATGGTCACCCTAGCTTAGCAAAGTCTCAGTGATTTGAACTTTAACTTCCAAGTTACACTGATATGTGTTTTTATATTGGACAGTTATTTGTGTTCCTGGTATATTCGTACACATTTCCATGTGTCAGTCACTCCATGCCTCTATTCAGGGTTAGCAAACAGACTGTCACTTCTGCGTCAGTGTGGTACTTGTTCAGTCTTCAGATCAGTGATAAACAGTAAAAAGCAACCGTTCACGCGCTTAATGCGCATCTCGTAGATGAAAAGCATTTTAGGGGGTCCTTGGCTTTTGGGGGCCCAAGGCGGTTGCCTACCTTTGCCTAATGCGTAAGTCTGCCTCTGATTTTAGGCAATGTAGAAATCCTGACCAGGACATGTCTGGGGGAAAAGGGCACATATGGTCACCCTAGCTTAGCAAAGTCTCAGTGATTTGAACTTTAACTTCCAAGTTACACTGATATGTGTTTTTATATTGGACAGTTATTTGTGTTCCTGGTATATTCGTACACATTTCCATGTGTCAGTCACTCCATGCCTCTATTCAGGGTTAGCAAACAGACTGTCACTTCTGCGTCAGTGTGGTACTTGTTCAGTCTTCAGATCAGATCATTTCCAGGCCTCTGGGATTACATCCTTACCACATGCGGCTGGAAAGTGAGAGCAAACATCAGAGATCGAGACTTACACAAGAGTGCAGACCTGTCACATTAAACCACATCCTGGTTATGACTCCCAGAGCCAAAGCCCACCCGCTTCCACAAGAGTCCACATCACAGACTTCATTTGCATTTACATTCATGTTGTAAGTAGAAGCTTTCAAATCAAAGCCACTTACAATAAAGTAGACATATCACGTAAGCCATAGTTACCAGTTATGACTGCTCAACATAACAATATTGGCTCAACCTTTAAAGAGATAGTTTTTTTAATTTTTTTATTAGTTAATGTCATTCCAAACCTTCATGAGTTTCTTTGTTCTGTGGAACACCAAAAATTGTGAAAATCTGAAAATTCATACGGGTTTGGAACGACATGTGGCTGATGATGGCTCATTTTTTTTTCTTTTTGGGTGAACTATCCCTTTAAATCCCTGGTCCTGCTTAGAGTTTTTGCTGACTATCTGTTTGTCCGACCAATGGCAATTAAACATGATGTCTTGACTAAGTCCCATGGAGCAGGAATTG